TTCATCTGTGTCATCAGAAGGATTTTTATATAGAAAATAATGCTTCAGTGATCAGTTTCAGATTCCGCTGAGATCAACCATGAGTCCAAATAGCAAAAGGGATTGGGGTTAGATATAAAAGAAACGTGCTAATAGGTTGGGCTATAAAATGGTAGAGCAGGTCTTTCAAGCTCAAACTGAATCTCATTAGTTTCAGTGGTGTGCACTGAAATAAGCAGAGCCTTGCTGGAGTATCGGCGTACTGTTTACTAGACATATCAAGGTCCTTCCCATGCTGGAGATTGTAGAATTTTTCTGAGTGACTCAGTTTTACTAAGGTATGCCAATTTTAAGGAAAAAAAATTATTTCAGGATTGGTCATAGAATCATTTAAGCACAAGGAATTTTTTAAAAAGAGCATCTTACTAAAATGCTCCCTTTAATGGCTTTAGAAAAATCCCTGGAGTACAGAAAGTGTCATTGGAATACCTATTAATGTTTACTCTTTAAAAGCATTTTTAACAAGGACATCAAGATTGCAGGTGAATTACTCTAGTGAGCATAACAGATATCTTGTCAGTTAAGTTCCTGCAGATTTGTCACTGTTTATTAACAAAGAAACTCAATACCCTGCAAGCCACACAGAAGTAAGCAAAAATACCAACTCCCGTTGCTCTCAGCACTTTTCATCTCTGGTTATTCCAAGAAAAAGAGAACAATCTAGATAGTTGCTTTTAGTGTTTACAACTCAATGTAAAATTGTAGGGTTCAGTAACTTTCCAAATTGATTTACTTTTCTCAAAGTGGCTGTGGGTAAGAATCATTAAACAACCACTTTTGCTTAGCACATAAGCAAATGGGTGTTTTAATCCAACGTTTGGGAAGATTATTTTGTTCAGTTGTGGTTTCTGCAGAATTTTAAATATAATAAAACATTAATGACTGTTTGGATGCATGGGTATTACATATATTGTGCTATTCTTAGATGTTCTTTTCATTTTAAAAAACAGGGATTTTGTGGGTGGAGTTGCAAGGAAAGGGAAAAGAAGGTCAGGGGGAAGTGTATGGAATGATAAACTTTGTAAAGCAATAAATTCCTTCTATCAGAACATCTCAGAGGGATTTACAAACAAAGGCTACTCATGGGAAGCAACCTGAGTAGCAGGGAGAGCAACTGACTTTCCCCATTGGGCACATCAACAAACACAGAATAGGAGCCAGAGCAGCCAGTCTTCTGGGGCCACCTGCTTGATCAAGTTTTCTGCTCTCCTTGAGTAGAGGTTTAGCTACAACTCCCACACATCAGCTAGCCTAATGAGTAGGAAAACTAATTTACAAACAGTTGAAGGTGGAATAGCTAATGTTATCCTTTGCAATCAGGATGCTGGAAGACTGAGAAAGTCATACGGTTAAGAACTGAAAAATAAAGACAAAATGATAAATAAAGACTGTTAAGAAAGCCCCACACACCGGTATTAAACTCAACATGAAGACCTCTTATAGGAAAAGTACAAACAATAGTTTGAAATTTTTTCTACTTATAACTATGAGCAATACTGAAATTCTCAGGGAGAAATCCAAACTTAAGCCATCATAGGTAAGTTTTGTGTCATAAATAGGAACAAAACAGTGTGATCTTGTTAGTACTAATTAACAGCTGAGCCAGGAATGTGGAAAGAGAAAAAGAACTGTAAGCACTGAGAGATGTTGAAAAGCAGAGTTTTAGGAAACTTCATAAGAAATCAATGCTGCTATGTAAGACAATTTATCTACACTAGATGCACTAGGTATTTCTAGTTCATTCATGACAAACCAAGGAGGAACTGCTCAGAGAAAGGATAGTGAGTATGGTAAGTTTAAGACACCAACTGGCTTCAGGTACAGAAGGTAGAGATATGTTCAGAGTGATTTTTGCCCAAATCCTAGCAAAGGCAAAGGTTTAAAGGGTGTATGTAGTTACGTCCAACGTGCCTTGGGTGCTGCTAATATTGCTGCAAAGATCGTGCTCTAATGTTGGTGTCATCGTGCAACCTTCTTGGAGCTGCTGCTTCCAGTCTGTCAACTGGATTTGGAAGCCTGTTAACTGCTCCATCAAATGACCAAATCTTAGTGATTCAGAAACTATCTCCCTTTTCTCTCAAAAGAGTAGAAAGATGATTAATGATGTAAATTAATCCACAAAGTAACTTTTTATTAATACCTCTTGGATTACATTGTGAGGACTATTTAGTAGAGACTCTTTAAAGAGAGCAGGGCAAAAGTGGGAATTTCAGGAGCGATGTAGTTCTCAGAAGGCAGTTCATGGAGTTTGCAATGTAGCAGTGCAATTTGGGACACACTGAATTACAAATTATGAGATTCAGGAGCAATATTCTAGATGGAAATTTAAATAATGTGGAGGGTGTATGTGAAGAGGGAGAAAGAGAAATTAATTTAATTCCATTTGCTGATGTGACTCTAGCACAACTATTTTTAGGTATAATCCAAACAGTGCATATCTTCTCCATTTTGATTAGTAGCAAATTGGCAGGGAGTCAAAAGAATTAGTGTTTCTCAGCACATTATGCCAGAAACATACAAATAAAATGAAATTATCTGTGCCAATGTGTTTAATATGAATTACTACTAAGGCTTTTATTTATGCTTTTTCTGCAAAAGAACTAATAGGTCCAGTTTTATTTAAAAAACTTTTTTTAATCTTTCACAAATGGCAGCAAAACTTAATAGAATGATTTTCCTTTAGGCACTTGCTTAGCAGCTCTTGTTAAAAACTTAAATGTTAATCTCATCCTGATACTTTGGCTGAAGAATTTCCGCCTGGCAATTTACATATTGTCAGAGGAAGTCAGCATGCTCAACAAAATGTGAAATTAAAATAAGCTGGGAAAATGTGCTTAATGAGGAACGGTTTCACAATAGCCACTTAGAAGTTATTAATAATGCCATTTCCAAAGAAAGCATGAACCAAAAACCAAAAAACAAAAACCCAAACCCTGTTTGCAAAGTTTTATATTGGCAAGTTCACCCAGGGATGACATTATATACTCTACCAAGTACACATTTCTACAGTGGGGGGAGAATTCATAGATGCTGGAGAATCTTGTTACATGTTAGAGAACTTTACAGTGGGCAAACTATACATTATTTCCAATGAAGCCAATCAATTAATCTCCATCATATTTTAGTTCACTCTTCTAATTTAAATGTTCATGTCTTTAGTAGTTTGTTACACATGCACTCATGGAGGAAGGTTGATTTTCTACATATTCATTGCCCTCCTTCTCTCACTTCTGTTGTGTATTATTTCACCAGATTAAACGGGATTGGTAGGTTTCTTGTCCCACTGATGTAGTTATTTGGGATTGACAGACGAGCTTCCCACCTTTGTGTAAAAAATAAATGTCTGTCTTCTTCAAAAACCACAAGAGGTACTTTTCACGGGTAGCTGGAGTCACTGATGGGGTCTGTGTTTGAATCCTTGCAATCCTAAGAGAACTCAAGGGGTCACAGAAAAATCTTCTGTTTCCTAAAATACATACAAACTGCTCCCAAGATTATACTGGTTTCCTCTAACTCATTAAAGAGTTTAGTCCTTCCAGTAAGTAGTTAAATTCTACATATTTGTTATTAACTTAAAGGGACTTTCATGATTTTAAGACCTGAGCCTATAAGTAAGTTTTCGGTTGGGAAATTTCTTTTTATTCAAATGTGAAGACTTCTCTAGACAAAACAATAACCAGGAAGTCAGGAAAGTGAAGCAACTTACCTGGTACTTGAGTGTTCGGAGGAACAAAACCCTAACAAAATGCATCTTATATACACTTGGTGGGTAAGAGACTGTAGAAATGGACTATATTTCTTCCGAGGGGAAAGCATAGTGAGATTTCGTCCCAAGAATGATTTTACATTCTGCAAAATAAGTTTCTTATTTATCTTTGTATCTTTAAGTAAGTTTTAGAGATACGCCCCCTCTTTTTTATATTTTGCTGGAGAAAGGGCTTGAAGTTCCCAGCAGCTTTTGCTGAAACTGCTACTGTTACATGCAACGTTCTGCTAATATCTAATATATGTCATCATTAGCCTTTCTCAGAAGACTGCCTCCGGATCTTTAGAATATCCCATTGCAAAAAAGGATAATCAGTCTTGACTTTCCTTAGCAGAGAATAGTTTCTTCATGTTAAAGCTTAGTATGAGCTACAACTTTATGTTCTTTACTTTGGTTTCTTTACTGAACGATCATGTAATGAAAACTTTGTTTAAAAATACAAAGATAAATACTTAAACTTATTTTGGAGATTGCAGAATTAATCCCCGGATGGAATTTCACTATGCTTTCCTTAGGAATGAGTTTTATGAAAAATATCCTAGCCTTTGGGTGTCAAAATTTTGTTAGAAGTCAGAAATTTCATCACACTTGCTTTTACCTGTGACCCACCCACTGGAACGTCTATTGGTCTGTTTAAGTACACAAGAGAAAAAATATTTACTGAAAAGCTTTTATAAATCTTTGCTTCACTAGGAAAGCATTTTGCATTCTAAACAGCCACTGGAGAAATCTGCACCCATGGATCCATCTGTAGGCTGTGATTTTCTATTGGTAAACAAAAACAAGCCGTGGAAACCACTTACCCCGTTCCAAGTAGGCAACTAAACTGATCATTCAAGGAGTTAGTCCTCTTTCTTGAGTTTCTGTGCAAAGTTGCAGCTGAGTTTACCTGGCTCCATCACTCTTTTTTTTAGAAGATTCACAATCCCGAATGTTCCTTCTTCAGTCAAGCGCAGCAGATGGTATCTTGAAAACACCTACAAGTAGTCTAGAATACCTTGAATCCGGCTGTGAAAATTAGGGCACGTCTGCGGCTCTCAGTAGGTACATGCCTTATTTGGTCTAGAGGCATTTTGCTATGTTATTGAGTCATAAATGGCTATTAAAAGAGCTCACTTGGAAATCCAGCCTGTATTTTGAACAAAACTGTCTTCTCCATTATCACTGACCCCTTACAGACACACGGTACATAATCTTGATTGTGCTTCATTGGTATTTATTGCACATGGACCAATTCCTCACACAGTAGTTAGTTGCACCAGAGTATAAATACTTGGTAAAACGCACAGAGGAAATAGAATAGAATTTACACACAAGTGCTAAATTTTCCCAGCAAACTCATGTGGGCATTTGGACATAAAAAATAATTTAAAAATTGTTGAGATAATTATAATATGGATACAGTTACAGTACCATGATAAGAGTATAAAGTTATTTTCCCAATAAATCTTTAGCTCAATAACAAGATAGACAACAGAAATAGAGTTTGAATTTTATTTTAGATTTTAAGATGTTCCCCCCCCCGTTAAAAAATAATTTCTTTTTGTGCAAGTAACATCTCCTGTGGACTTTACAACTCCTACCACTGTGCAAAATGACATTTTGAACCACTCCTTTGTTTTGTTCTTTGTTTTTACCCATATGTGCAGTAATCTGAACTGTTTCCTCTTTTTTTATTTAAAAAAAATTTTCTGTCCTGTCTTCAGTGGACAGAGTCACATGTCACAGAGGCTCAGTGCCTGGTCCTCCCAAATAATATTGATACATAAATAAGCTGTTTAATATAAACAAGTCTTTCTATCTTGCTGTGCAATGTGCACAGTGTGAGGTAGAACCCCTCAGCCTGCCCACCGCGGGGGACAGGTTTGCCCTACAAAAAGAAAGCAAGGTGAGGCTTGTTCCAAGAATAGCTTAAAATTTCTTGAAACGTGATTTTTGCATCCATCCTTTCCCTTTGCTTTAAGAACAGGAGAAATCATTCCTCAGGAACTAAACTGAAATTTCTCTGGAAAGCAAAAGGAACCATGTCCTGACAGTCATCCCCCCTTCTCTCCGCTGCTGACCGCTCCTGTTCCCGGGAGCGGGACGGAAGCCAAGCTGGTGGACTTTTATCCCCCGATGCTTCTCCTTTCCCTTACCCGGTCCTCGCGGGAAGTGTGAAAACCCACCTGGAAAACAAACAAACAAACAAACAAACAAAAACGCAACTAAAGATGCATCACACACACACACACAGAAAAGAAGGCCGAACCACAAACAGAAAAAAAAGAACCCAAGAAGGATCAGCAAGCCACTCTCCCGCCCCTCCCGAAACGCTCCTTTCCGTGCAACGCTGCGTAGCTTTTCGGCTGTCTTGGCCATTCAGGCGAGGTCTGTGGGCTTTTATTTAGTTCACCTGCTTTCGGTCTTGAGTAAACACAGCTCTCCTCTGTCCCCTGAGGGGGCGCCTGGGCCGTCCTCCCGGGGCGCCGAGGGCCGGGGTCGCAGGTGGGGTGCGCGCGGGCCCTACAGCTTGGACTCGGAGGCGCGGCCCGGGCGGCCCGGCTCGTCCAGGCTCCAGTCGCTGTCCGCCGCCGCCCCGCCGTTGCAGCCCGCCCAGGGCTCGAGCAGGCGCGCGGGCGGCGCGGCCCCGACGTCCTCGTCGTCGTCGTCTTCGTCGGCGCCAGGCGACGGCGGCGGCCCCCCGGCCACCGCCAGGCAGCTCGAGGCGCGCGGCCGGTCGCCGGCGTGCGTGTGGCCCCCGCAGGCAGCCCGGCGCGCGCAGCAGAGCAGGCGCTGGAAGGCCTGGCGGAAGTCGGGGCTGCGGCAGTAGATGATGGGGTTGAAGGCCGAGTTGGCGTAGCCCAGCCAGTTGAAGAAGACGAAGAGGCGGTCGGGCACCAGGTCGCGGTGGAAGGCCTTCACCACGTTGGCCAGGAAGAAGGGCAGCCAGCAGAGCGTGAACACGCCCATGATGATGCCCAGCGTCTTGAGCGCCTTCTGCTCGCGCAGGGCCACGAGGCGCGAGGGCCGTCGCTTGCTGGTCCGCCCGTTGGCCAGCGGGGCGGCGGGGCGCGCGGGCCCCGGCGAGGGCGCGGGCGAGGGCGGGCGCGCCGGGCCGCTCAGGAAGCGGCGCTCGCAGCTGTCGATCTTCTTCACCTGCTTCTGGGCCTCGCGGAACACCCGCAGGTACACGAAGGCCATGATGCACAGGGGCACGTAGAAGGAGACGACGGACGAGGCGATGGCGTAGGCCCGGTTGGTGACGAAATCACAGCACTTGGGGTCGTTGTAGCAGTGGCGCGCCTCGTCGCTCTCGGACCGCCACCAGTGCATGAGGATGGGCAGGAAGGACACCAGGGCCGAGATGGCCCACACGGTGCACACGAGGGCCCGCGCCCGCGCGCGGGTCAGCAGGCTCTGGTAGCGGAAGGGCGAAGTGATGGCGAGGTAGCGGTCCAGGGCAATCACACACAGGGTCTCGATGCTGGCCGTCACGCACAGCACGTCCACCGAGGTCCAGAGCTCGCAGAAGAAGGAGCCGTACTCCCAGCGACCCCACACCACGATGGTAGCCCCGAACGGCACCACCAGCAGCCCCATGACCAGGTCGGCGCTGGCCAAGGACATGATGAAGAGGTTAGTGAGCGTCTGCAGCCGCGGCGTCTTGGCGATGGCCACGATCACCAGCACGTTGCCCGCCACGATGAGTAGCACGATGAGCGCCATCAGCAGGCTCATGCCCGCCGTCCACTGCTGCGACAGCGGCGCGGGGCCGTCGTTGGCCGGGGGCAGCAGCGAGGCGGGCGGCGACGCGGGCACCAGCAGCCGGGCTGCTGTGGCCGCGCCGTCGGGGAGAGCCGCCGCCGCCGACAGGTTGCTGGGCTCGGCGGCGCCCAGCGCGAGCACCCCCGCGCCCATGCCGAGCTGCAGAGGCCTGGGGCGGGGGGTGTGGCGGGGTTGGGCCGTGGTTGGGGAACTCCCCAGAGGCCGAGGCGCGTGGCGCGCGGAGGGAGGTTGCGGCCCGGTCAAAGCAGCCGCTGTGCGGGGCCGGAGGCATGGGCGCCGGGCGCCTTCCCCACCAGAGCCGAGCGCTGTCGCCGCCGCCGCCGCCGCCGCTGCTGCTGGAGCCGCTGTCGCTGCTGGAACAGCCACCGGGACCTCAGCATGTTTCTGAGCGCGCTGAGCCCGCAGCCCCGGCACCCAGCACCCACCCCACCCCACCCCACCCCGCTCCCACTCCCCCGAGCCAACCCCCTGGGCCTCGCGTCAGGCTCCTGCAGCCAATCCAGGCAAAGGCACGCCCCCCTCTGCTTCGCCCCCGTCTCTCTGCACCCTCCCTCCCACGGGTAATTCAGCGGCTCTGGGAGTCCTGGCCAGATCGCCCAAGCAGCGAGAGCCTCCCCAGCGCCCACGGTTCCTGCGCGCTCGCCCCTTACTGAGCGCCGGCTCGTTGCAGCGCCCTGCTCCCCCGGCTCCCACTCGCGTTCCCGCCCGCTCCCCAGGCCCCCGCTCCTGCACTCGGCTTCTTCCTACACCCTCTTTGCCTCTGGCTTTTGGCTTCCTCTGACGCCCCCGCTCTGCAGGCATTCCCTCTACCTCCAGGGGCCAGGTTCCCTGCAGAGCAGAGCGCTGGTTCCTTTTCACCGGGTGGAGACCTCGGTGTTCTCGAGGCGCCAGAGCGCCTTGGACAGTCTGTCCGCTGAGGTGGTAGGAGTTTGGCTGCGAGATTGTTTCTCGGATCGGGCAGCTTAGCAGAGTGTGTGTACAACCTTTCACCCGTGAGGAGGGGACCCAGCCAGCTCGCGTCCTGCCAGCTCCGGGGACCGGAGGCGGGGTGTTTGTGGTTAGAGGAAACTTTCCAGCGAGAGCGTCTTGCTAGATAGAGCAAACGACGCATCTGTCAGGAACGCTCTTTGGGCTCTGTTCTTGCAAGGAGCTTGTTTTTCTAGGGCAATAGATGCAGAAAGGAAGAGAAGGTTTGTACATCTGACAGCTAACGCTGAGGACCAGTTGGAAAAACACACTCTCCCCAGTCCCAGCTAATGAGTATGCGAGTATGATATAACACTGTGTGTCAATAATAGGAGAGGCTTAAGGAAACATAAATGTTAAAGCAGAGTAAATGCCACCGTCATGAAAAAGAACACATTTAATTACATTTCAGAGTTTTCACATTCAGTAGTAACACCTGTATTTTGCTCTTTATTCTATACTCTACAATCTATACTCACATGATTGTATTATCTGAACTGGGTCAATACAAACAGAAAGGTACTTAGTTTTAGTTGACCTGATGAATTGAGATTTCGGATTTCTTGGTCTTCGTGGTTGTCTTCTCCTTTGCCCGAGTTCCCAGATTCTCCGAACTCTAGGGTTCGTTTTGGAGGAATGGGAGAAGAAAATAGGTAAACACTCAAGAAGATTAAAATCCTATAGCGCTTAAAGTAATAGCAGCGGTTTTGAGTTGGCCAGTGAATGGGTTTGAAATTAGTGAGTAGTTAGCCCAGCAGTTGGTGGATTATTTGTGGGGACCCACGCACAGATAGCCTCTGGGAACTCAAAATGCAGCAGGATTGCAAGCTCCCTGTGTAATTCGACCATGGAAGGTCCTCAGCTCAGCCTTGAAAATAAAAAACCTTTAATTGAATCCTTGAGAAGTAAACTGCTTCTAATTACCCTTGTAAGGGGACATTAAATGGTATATAACGCTCACACATCCTTCTAGCATTAGAATAACAAGAACAGCATCTGGAAGGAACACCATCTGGAGCAAAGTAATAGTCTTACCTTCAGAGAGACTGACTTTCACAGCTCCCCCCTTCAAGAGCTAAAAGGAATGCTTACGCAGTTTACAAAGTCAAGCAGTTTTATTCACCTTTTCTGACTCAAATCCAAACACAAATTTGCTTTAGGCCCAAACTTGACAGTCAGTGTTACAAGGTGGGTGGGTGTGAGTGTGGGTGATTTGTTATTCACCCCTGCCCTAGGACTTGTCAGCCTAGTTCTGCCAACTTGGGGAGGTTGAGAAGGGGAAGCAAGGAGAGGGGATAGAAAGAGGGAAGGAATGGGACTGCTCCCCAAGTTCAGTGTCAGCTTACAGGAGAGCTTAGTTACCTTCCTGCCCTCCAGCAAACCTGTCTCCCCTTCTGACTGCTTTCTGTTCCTTCTCTCAAGGGGCAGCCTCAAAATAGACAAGGGATTGGAAAGGGTTGAATTGTGGCTACCCAGGAAGGGCACTGTCAGTCTGGGCTGTGGAGGGAGGTGTAGGAAATGTGGAGGGAGGCTTTCTATCCGGCGCCATCTTTCTGTCAAGTGGTGTTACTGGAATGGTGTGTGCCAGCCTAAGTGCCCCTGAAGGGCGAGGGATCGCGTTTCTGTGAGTGATAAGACCAGAACTTGGTTGTAGAGGTTCAGTGCAGAAGCCTGGATGCCAGTGACATTACCGAATATGTGAATACATAGGTACTGTATACATTATGTATACATATGTGTATTTGGATGCCTTTGTATATGTAGAAACATACTGTGTAGCAGGGCATGAGATTTGAATTGTCCAAAAACTCTCCTGAAACTTTTTCCCCCTGCTCATTCAGAGATACATCAGTTTTCCCTGCATTTCTCAATAATGAATACATGAAATCATAAATATTCAAAACCAGAAGACTATTTTAGTAGGATTTCCTACACAGGGCTGCAGGCAGAAAGGGATCCCTGGGGTTCTCAGGGCTTTCCTGTGGTTGCACTGAAGGAAACGTTTGGAATAGTCCATGTTCAACTAGAGTTCATTTTCTCTTAAAATAAAATGTCCCCGGATCGCCTTTAATTTCCACATTTCATGACTTTTTTTTTTTTGAGCTAACGTTTTTTTGTCCTTTGATAAGGATACAAGATTAAGAAGCAAGTGAAAAATGAATAGCCCCCCCAATCCCCTACTCCCCACTCATAACTGTTAAAACAAATCAGTTTTATAGTCATCACTGCCTATTTCTGGAAATGATCTTTCCTTTCTCTATCTATAGTAGTTATTTTGCTAATTAGCATTTCTTGTGGCAATTAACAGTATATGGCCTTTTGACATCTCATATTGTTGTGTAATTTTTATGTTTTTCTTGTCTTCTCATATGCATTGTCAGCTCACCAAGGGCCACAACTACCCTATACATTTTTGTATCTCTCGTGTTTACTAATATTTACTTAATACTAATTAACATTAAGCTCTGATTCATAAATATTTAATGTTTAACTAATTAAAAATTTTCAAATTTACTAATATAAATAATTGAGTGTTTTTGGACTTGAAATCCTCTCTCATGCTTAGAATTTGCAGTAATAATTCACATTCCTATAGTCCAGTCAATATTTTCATATATGCATTTGAAATACTTTATAAGTACAAGTAGGCTCATGAGGTAAATAAATTTATCATTCCTACTTTGTGGTGCATAAGGTGAATGACCTTTTTCCTTAGCCTTCATTTATGATACTATATAGCCAGGCATTTCTGCCCTGGGATAGTAGATGATGACTTGAATCTAAATCAATTAAAGGTCTGCATGACAGTAATTAATAGGCACACAACTACCTGTAGTTGTAAGCCAAGGGCCTGGTGAAGGCATTTCCATTCTTGCGTTGACTTTGGTAGAAATGAGTTAAAAATAGTAAGTAGCCTAACTGAATGACTGCTGGAAGGTCGGCCAAAGCAAGTCTGGGGAGGAGTTCCAAGTAAAGCCCCAAGAAATACAACAAGTCAAGTAGGCAAAATTTGCCTTGAGGCTGATAATCTGTTAATCAGAGCTCAAGTGGCTGTTTCTGATGAGAGATATGCAATTTTTCACATAAAGCAATACTAATGCTGAAACAATCACTCGGTGCTAACTGACCAAGAACAGCCTGCACCCGTGGCTGGCACTTAAGGTCATACACTGGTTTCAGCTACAAGTTATACAGGGACGGGCAACTCCATGCATTGTGATAAGAACAGAGGACAGTGGCGTAATCATAGCAAAGCATGGACAATTTGGAAAATTCAAAAGCTCTCCTCTCTCCCATTTCCTCTTTGCCTTCTCCTCTTCTTCCTAGTGTGTCTAACAAGTACATTGAACAATGCTAGAGCCAATAATAATATTTTTCAAAGTTTGGACATATTGGAAAGTGTTCAGTGCGGGGAGGCAGATGATCCCTCTTTGCATCCCGGCTTTATCACTTTCTGGTTTGACCTTTAGCAGTGGCTTCATCTTTAAAATGGACTCACCATTTGCTCCTTCACAGGGTTGTACATGGATTAAATGAGATAATGTATGTGAAAGCTTTTTGAAATCTCATGCAATACCATATATTCATAACATAGCAAATACAGTCTTATCCAATCACTCTGACATTTTAAACATGAACGGTGTCAGGCTTTGCTCATCTGAGAAGAGTCAGTTCACTTAAATAAGCTTCTTTTTATCACTTTGCCTTCTTTTTTTCTCACACCAGATATTAATATGACTCAGAGGTTGGATAACAGTGAGCTATTTTTTAAATGCTTTTACTTGTGGCAAAGCATCTTTTTGAAAGTTTTTACTCCTTTTTTTCTGCCCTTCCTTAAAACGAATAGGTATGTTCCCTATTCTTTTTTTAAAGTATTTGTTTATGTTATTCTCTACAATAAATTCCTTTAAAGTATTTAAGTGGTGAAATATTACCAACAGAGAAGGAATTTTTTTTCTCAAGTGAACTATCTAGGGCCATGACTGGTAAGTTACAAAACAAAAAAGGAAGGCAGTGAAATATAAAACTTAAGCCAACTTTTAAAAATTCTGTTCTAATTCTGTATAATGAATAAAACTTGATGGCTTATCAGCTGAAATCCTACCTTAAAATGCTAGCAGCCACAGGATTATTATCACTGCACATGAAAAGCATCTGGCTAGTCATCCTTCAGTTTGCCCAAGTCCAGAGCTTGTGATGACAACAAGCTGTGCTAATTATTGAAAACTCTAGGTTCCATTTTAACAAAGTCTTACTGGGATCCAGATAAAACAATTATGTTGTAAAAAGCTCAGGAATTTGTAGCAACAAGAGTCTCCCAACCCCATATTCTAAGTTTCCGAGGAGTAGGAATGATACCTTTGAAACATCTCAGCTCCTATTTATTCTGGCCATGGAGTTGGTACTTCATAAGTTATTGTGTTATAAAGGAATCACTGAAAAGCCTGTGTATAGTAGAGTCTCTAAAATAAAAGAAGACATTGTGTTTTCCTTTCATCCACGGAAGATGGCATCTGGGCCATCCAACTCAGCAGAATTGCCGAAGGGAACCAGTGGGAAAATCTGGCTGTTTGCTCGGCCCCCGGGTGGCAGACCAAATCATTTACTTTTCGTTTCACTTACTACTTTGAGTTGACAAAACAGGTATTTTCTTTGATATGTGTTTTTGCACTTCTTTTTACTGTATAGATATTTTTGCAGTCAATTTATTCATTATTTACATACCGTGTTAACGCTCATCCAGACCCACTCAGTATTTAGAGGCATGGTAGTTTTTTGCCTCCGAAGGGCAGAGCCTAAAGACACTAATGAGACAATATTGCCGCTTCTTTGGTTTTGATTACTACTGTGGTCAGGCTTCTTGCTTTGAAAATAAATATCAAACCTTTGACCTGACATTTATTTTCCACAATGTCTCAGCTTTGCAGCTCCTTGAAAAAAACCTGTGAGAGACCTTTATCCTATGATAGCCTTCGGTTTCTAGAGCATTATCCCTTCATTAAATGTTAAGGGGGCAATGACCTTCTTTGCAGATCTCTTCTAAATATAAATTACTTTTCACACTGGTCAAGAAATAGTTGTTTTTTTTCCCACACATTTTAGTATGGAGAAACTGAAGCATAAAGAGAGACATGCTTCGGTTTCAAGGGAAAGGAAAGGGAGTTTTTGACTTTCCTACTTCTGAATTAATTTTAATTACCAGAACATGCATCCTTAACAGATTTTGGCCCACTTATTTCTACTTATCAGCATAATATATTTGAGGGCCTGCAGGTGGTCATGGAGTAATTTTTAAAATATTTATGAACAAGTGAAGAGATTCTGTCATGCAATGTTTGTATTTTTCAGTTGGTTTAAATATGATAGATCTAGAAGAAGAAGAATATTTATCCACACAAATGAAATTCTCATTGTTAGTCTGAATTTCCAAAAGTGTCACATGAATACTAACTCTGAAGACAAAAAGAGCACCAAAGAAAAGCCAAACAATTAAGTAATTTGGTTTTTTGTTTTGTTCTCTTTTAATCTGTAACTAGAAAAAGATTTCATAGAAGACTGTTACTGAGAGTCAGAGGCACAAAAGTTGTGATGACAACCTTGGGAATTTTATTTTAAGAGATGAGGAAAAGCTGTTTGGGAGTTTGGAACAGAAAATTAAAAGGCAAGCTGTACTTGCTTTGGCATTTCTGCATCCTAATACTTTTCCAAACCAGGTAGTCAAGTCATATATGCATTGAGCTTTGAGGCTCTCTGAAAAGCCTGGAAAATGCACTAAAATGGTATTGGCAGAGTTCTGGAAATACTTTTTTTCTTATTCTCTAAATGTCTAAAGTGATGATTTTAGTCCAACTCGTCACCACTTCTACCCCATTCCCTACCTTTCCTCTCTCACTGCTAACCGCTCTGTAGGAGGCATTTTTGAAGTTTCCTCATTACTAATTAATAGAGATTCTATGCCTCTCACAGCTCTATATTGCAGATAATGATCTTGATTTTTAAAATTCCCACACTTACATACTCATATATATAGTTTTCACAAGTACTCATCTAAGAAACAACTCAGAATAAAAGTAATTTATTAAGCAAGTTAAAAACCCATAATTAGGCTTGAAAAAATAGTAATCAGTATTTTGTAGTATAACCAGTCTTGATGGAAGGTTGAAAATATTCCTGGTCTACACATTTTTGTTTTAGCTGTTTTTTATTACATAATTTCAAATTATGACATTTTAGCAAGATGACAATGATTTTAGTAGTTAGTTTTGACATGGACCTCTCTCCATATAGCATAACGATTAAGAATGTAGGCTCTGGAGTCAGACTGCTCGGATTCAAATCCAGATTCTGCCACTTAGTAGCTGCATGACTCAGAACACGTATTTGAATACCTCAGGCCTCCATGTTATCACCGATAAACAGGAATAATAATTATCATACCTACCCTCTGAGGTGTTTGGGAAGAGCCAATAGGGTATATGAAACATTTGTCAAAGGACTTTGCTTATCATAAATACTTAATAAACATTAGATTTTCTTTTTTCTGTTTTATTTTTTCAACGCCACCATCCCCACCACAGATAAAGGCATAACGCAGAAAAATCTTCATTCAATACAAACCCAAGAGTGGCAAAGGAGGCGGCTTCCTATCAGCGGAAATTGAATAATTGAATAAATGTGTTCTTTTTAAAAGTGAGAGGATGTAGTAAAGAAACTAATTTGGTAAGTACTCTTTTCATTTCAAAGGCAAGTTATTCCTCTATGGTCATTTAATCTGATTTTTGTTCTGTTTGGGGAATTGGAATTTCCCAATCCAATTTTAAGTCATGGAAAGATCATTTCAGTCAGTTCAACCTAGGGTAGATCCATATTCCAAATATACGAAATAACAACAATGACAAAACAAAGCCCCAGTGGGCTCTTAGTGGAAAAGCTCATTTCCCCAAGTATAATCGATCCAAGCTGCTGCTTTTTATGGTATAAATTAGTGTGATCTCAAAGAGGCCAGAAGATTCTCCAGTGACCTGCTTTGTGTCATTGTAGCACAACTCGCCAGAATCCCGAGTACAGGGAGTGTGACCACCTCACCCTGAGAACAGGGAGTCAAGAAGTAGGTAACACAGGTTTCCCCCCAGTCCGTCTGGTTCAGCCGCTGGGACAGTCTTTCAGACCCTAACTCAGAACTTTTAATTTTATTATAGAAATAGTTCTGGTTTCTGTGCTTTCATAACAAACTAGGAGAAGCATATTGGGGTGAAGGAATGAGGGTGATGTAGGGGCAGAGGGAATGTCTGGGAACTTTCTATTAGGGGAGAAACGAGGGAGACCAGCGCTGCATTTTACTGCAGACAAGCAATGTCATGCACTCTCCAGTCACTGATGGTCCTGTGTCATTAAGAAAGGTTTAGATTGTCCAGCTGTCCTCCACTTAAGAAACATCATGTGTGCTTTAGAAAGATTTTTATTAAGAAATACTGGTATGAAAATTGTGGGCCTTTTTATTTTCCAAAATACTTCAGTTATCTAGAAAGTGAATTTACATGGACTACTGTATTTCATTCTCCAGTGACACTGAGGTATGACTTAGTTTGCTGGAAGTCTGAAATCAAGGTGCTGGTTGGTTCCTCCTGAGGGCTGTGAGGAAAGACACTGTTCCGGGCCCCTCTCCTTAGCTTGTGGATGGCTGGCTGTCCTCTCTCTGCCTGTCTCTGTGTCCAAATTTCTCCTTTCTAAAAGGGTACAAGTCATATAGGATTAGAACCCACTTTAATGACCTTATTTTATCTTGATTACCTCTGTAAAGATCTTATTTGGAGATCCAAATAAGGTCACACTCTGAGTTACTGGGGTTTCGGACTCCAATATACATATATATTTTGGGGTGATGCATTTAACCCATAACAAGGTGTTACCATGTATGTAAGACAGTTTGACACCTTACGTCCAATCTTTAGTCACCTGTATCTCATACGTGCCATATTTGTTATAAGTCTTCTAGGACAGAGGGCAAGCATAATGATTTCTCATATCTCACGGCATCCCAAATAAATGGCATCTAGGCTCTGGTGAGAACAGTCCAGTTTGTTGTAAGATTGTGGTCTGTCACAAAGCCATGAATGCCATGGCTGACTGTGATCACATCAGGTTCCCATGTGTACAGTAAGTGGCCTGGGTCTTAGCTTAGCATGGAGTGGGTGGGATGTGTGTATATAGGGCATATCCCTTTTAAGTATGTGCTTAAAGTAGGCTTCAAAGCACTGCTCTTTTATAGCTTTCTTTACAAACCAAGAACCTCAGCTAGTTCCTTGACAGACAATAGAAGTAGAAAAATTCAGATTCACTGTAATAATTCACATTCAATGAGCAAAATCAGCCAATCCAGTTGGTTGATTGTATAGAGCACTGTTCTTTCTTTTTTTTTTTTTAAATAAAGGTATCATTGATATACAATCTTATGAAGGTTTCACATGAGTAACATTGTGGCTTCAACATTCACCCGTATTATCAAGTCCCCTCCATTGCAATCACTGTCCATCAGCATAGTAAGATGCTATAGAGTCATTATTTGTGTATAGACCACTTTTCAGCTGCTTCTTTTGACATTGTGTAGACACACTCAGAGTTGCTCTCCACAGCTGCAGCATGCCTGTTATTTGCCCTGAGCTAGAATTAGCGCAACGACGGCAAATGACTGGGTAAGAGAGTTAACAACAAATCTTTATAACTGAAGAACAAAGCTGGCCTTTGAGGCAAGAGAAGACTAGGTACTCACTCTTATAGAATCTGTTGAAAAACAGGATTTTTATGACCTTGAAGTAACGATTTTGATTGCTTTAGTGATTCAGGTCTGAAAATATTGGCTAGTGGAGGTATAACTAAGAAATAACTGCCCTCAATATATTGATTTAGATTTATTATGGAATGTGAAGCTCATGAACATCCTAATTTTCTGTGTCTTTAAGTTGTACATCTCATTGTCCTCGGTTGACACTGATGACAGAGCTAGTAATGTTTTAACCCATGCATGGCCATGGACCAAATGAAATAGGCTTTTATGCCAAAAAACCCAAAACTGGAAAACCCCACCTGAGTGAGGTCCGAGAACTCAATCTGAATATTGGTCTTGACATTTGACAATAAAAATGACTCACAGCTCTCCTGGATGCCTTGGAATGTAGAACTGTGTGCCCAAGTAGGAAAAATCTGAGGCTCTAACGTCACATGGCATTCTGTGTGCAGTGACGCCAACTCCTCCTTACAGATATATCTGCCGCGTGTGTGCTATATAAATAGCATGGATTGAGATGTATATGAAACTATATTTTTAGAAATATCCCATCCAAGTGTTTGTAATGGCTAGGTTAGTTCAGTAGACCAGCGTTTTAAAGGGTGGTATACAAGTCTATGTGTCTGAATATTATTTAGTCATCTGTTTGTGCAACTGTATTTTTAACTTAATTTATGATGATCAGATCATTTTTCTGAACTCCCAAGCTGTGTTTCCATACTTCACGTTAGTTTATTTTCCTCTCAATTTCCTTCGGAACACATTACAGAGAACTTTCTTTGGAAACTTCATAATGCGGCCCTGAAAGTTCTCTGCAACCACCAGAAAACACCAAACGAAGGGCCCAAAATGAAAGACTTGGAACAGAATCACAGGGCCTGTGCACTCCCCCAGTGCAGCATGATGGAAACAGGCACATCTATGTCACATCCTCTTCCTTTTTTTCTTATTCCTGTTTCTTTTAATTCTTACTGGAAATATCATCTGTGGCCCTATAAACACCTGACTGATGAAGAATCTTTAAATTTTTGTTAATTGAGGTATCATTATTTTCATAGTATTAATAGTAATACACAGCTGTAAAAGTCCACTTGCTGTGGGATATAGTGTAGTATGTATGAAAGGCTTGGACCCTGTCTTCAAGAAGTTTACCTTTGTAGAGGTTCTTTTTCTGTGTGAACTTCCCTGAGGAATACTTGACAAATATAATCATATATATTTAAAGTGTATGATGTGGTGATGTGTTGGACATATATATTATGGAATGATTGCCAAGAACAAGATGATTAACATATCCATCACCTCATAGAGTTAGCATAGTGAACTTTTTTTGTGTGTGTGGTGAGAATGCATAAGATATACTTTCAGCAGCTTTCAAATACACAATATTCTATAATTAATGGTAATCACCAAGTTGTACATTAGATCCTCACAACATATTCTTCTCATAACTGAGAACTAGTACGTTTTGACCTGTGTCATCCCATTTTCTCCTGCTCTGGAACTTCCTCCCCCACAACCACTATTGTGTCCTGTGTCTGTGAAATTGTTTTTTTATTG